AAATGAAATGAAATACCATCAATATGAATTATACAATTACCCCATTAAAAGCACAAAATATAAGTAAAGAATGATGCTAACTAAAAAAACCTCAAAATCTCACAAAAAAATATAGAAATACAGTTTTGTGATTTTGATAGTGATTTTGATTTTGCATTTTATAGTTACATTATATACTTCTTTAAATAATCAGAATACCTTTTTAAAACTTGCACAAAATCTGCACAATTATCAGTCTTTTATTTCAATATGTATGCCTTTACTTATCACTGCTCTTTATTGACTAAGACACTCCATATTTATATTATGTCCTTGATTTTGCACAATGGAATAATTGAAGGAAGTTGAAAATCCTATAGTATTCCAGTTCCTTAATAATCTCCTTTAATTGCTAATGCCTGGAATGATCTATATTTTATATAACCCTGGAGTTTTGTTCGAACTATTTTTTTTATCTTTTTTATCTTTTTTAATTTTTCTCTCTCTTTATAAAGGTTTTGAAAAGTGCAGATTTCAAAGCTCATTCTGATTCACAGATATGTTTGCAAAGGGTGATTAGGATAAAATCATATAAAATTTGATATTCCAATAGAATTCTTACAGTCCTATCTTCCTCCTAGTTTAGTACTATTTATTGTTAAATATATGTCATACAGTGGCTTTCTGCATGATCCATAATTATTTATTTATATATCAAGCCCATCTCCCTTACAGAGGGGCTCTATCAACAATAATCATAATGGTGATTTCCAGTTCATTCAATCTGTTATCATTTTCTGCTTATCAGTGCCAAATATCTTTTGGAAAAAGCATATCTCTTCTTTTGTTACATTTTCTCCCACATCCCTGGTGATCATCTGTCATTATTCTCATTCCAAAGAACTTCACCTAGTCAATTCCATAGAATTTCCTTTTGCAGTGATTTTTCAGTTGTATCTACAGATATTAATGACTAAATGTGAAAGGTTCTGTATGATGAATATGCCTATTACTTAAATACGGGTTCCCTCAGATTCCAACTTTAGTTAATTTAGTTTATGAACTTTCTATGGATTCTTTTGTAAAGGTGAAAGACAAAATCAAATTACATCATCCGAAACAGTAACAATTTCTCAAAGGAGTCTTTCAGCTTTTCACAGCTGTCTTGTCACGTTAGCTGTCAAAATTTTAACCTATAGTCCTGAACCTTAGCTTTTAACTTTATTGATTAGTAGAGGAAGAGATAGTATTGAAGTAAAGTCCCTATACCTTATGATAGGTAGTTGTACTTGCTTTAGTTGCTGAGTAAGAAGCTGAGATATAGGTTTAGTTTTTTACTAAAATGGAAAATGTAGTATATTAAATATTATACTTTGCTTTTTAACAGTGCAGCCTTTTGCAGAATTAATACACTGAATTCAGTAAGATTTACAGTTACAGTGACCTCCAGATACACTGCATTATTATTTTCATCTTTTTTTGGATTTGTTGGAAGGAATAGCCAGATGTTACTGTATAAACTTCAGATCTTCTACTGGGAACTGAACTCATAGACCTTCACACTTCAGATGACTATATATAGTGCATTAGCTTTATGAATTTGCTAGAGTTCTTTGTTTCTCAAGGACTGAACACACTATAGTTTTGGAACTATACAAAGCACATTCTGTTGCCCTGGGTTTTCTCTACCATCCTTGACTTTAAAAGTTGATATAGCCATATAAATAAGTCTTTAATACTGAGTCCTTAAAACAAACAAAAGTCTTAAAGTTTGTAAAGAATCAACCTTTGCCTCCCTCCAAAGGTTCTTGTACTTGCTGAGATTAGGTATTGCCTCAGTGTAGTTGCTCCTTTTCTGATTACAACTGAGCTCCAGACAAAACTTTAAGCCGAGCTCCAAACAGAAACCACAACATAAGGGACTGCTTATTGTAGTTTGTGGTCCTGGCAGTTGAAGGAGTGCAATCCTCTTGCTTGCCTGTACTAATGGTACATTCCAGACCTCCCTTCCTACTTCTTTGTCTACATATTGTGTATTGTCTTTCTATCCTCAAACTTCTGTAGGCTAAGGGACTGGGTGAGGTGAGGCTGGATATTTACACAGTCCTAAAAATTTCAAGGTGGGCTCATGGATGCTTGTGAGTGGGAAATGAATGAGCCCATCTCCTTTCAGGTTTCTGGACTTAAGTTTACTGCCCCTTGAGCTAACTCTATTCTTGGGAAGTTGCAGTAGAAAATGTTTCTGCCTGGCTGCAGCTGCATTTCCCAAATGACAGAGAGCAACCCCAGCTTCATTCCCTCATAGATCTATCCAGGTCTTGGTGTTCTCCTGTAGGAAGGATTTTTAGAAGCACTATCAGAAGGGTATAGTCCATCTTCCCTTTTATTTACCCTGTGGTTCTCAATAACAACAAAATCAGTAAGGCAGTGCCTTCTGGTGGTCATTGTAACTAAAAACATCACTTAGAATATATATTATATAAACATAAGAGAAATTCCATTCCCTCTTCAGGGGTGAATTGTATGCTCAAATCATACAGAAGAGAATGCATGTAGTTCATAGCTGAACTGCAGAATTCTTGGTGCTCTCTGAACTTGGTTTTTGCTTGCAGACATTTCATTACCTTATTAGGTAACATCATGAACATTAGTGAGGGAGGGATTTGCTCCCTATTTATTTACAATATTTTGCCCTACCAGTGCTTATGGACATATAGTTTTCTTCTTGATAGTTCCTTGATTAAGATATTGTTTTCTGTTTGTTTCTCTGGTGTTAATTCCTGCTTATCTGGATGTTGACTGTTGGATGTGTCATGGTCTTTTTATTTCTTCTTAGCTTTTTAACAATAACAGTGTTGGAAGGAACCTTGGAGGTCATCTAGTCCAACCCTCTGCTCAGGCAGGAAACCCTATACCATTTCAGACAAATGGCTGTCCAGTCTCTTTAGAATGGTGTATATTATTTCTACGTGTCTGTTGATAGTTTATTTGTATGAAAACCAAGCTTCCAGGAATTCCCTAATGTTTTTGGATTTGGTTTGGTTTAAAATAACCAAACAACCAAGCTGACAGAGCACCAAGGATTCCATAGCTATATAAAAGCCAGTATATAGGGGGTGGGTGGGTGATGTAATATAACAACTGTACCCCTCTTAAGGGAAGGTGACTATTTGATATGGCATCTTTGTTCATGTCACTAGAATCCACAACACATTCTTGACTGGCATTGTACCTTTGAAGAATGATTTGGAACTTTACTGGTACAAGAAGATGTTGATCAAGGCAACTTCATAAATATATATATATTTATAAATATATTTCAAGGTAAAAGCTTAGTATGGGACCTGTTTCTATTTGCTTCTATGTATGGAATAACTAATGCTCACATAGAAGAAAAAGTATGAGATAACATTCAATAGATACCAAAAGGAATTTTACTTTTTTTAGTAAAATTGAGAAGAAGTAATCATAATTACTTATAGAAAGTAAAATAAGGGAGTGATGCATAATATAGCCATTAACCTCTTTTGAAAACAATATCTAAATACTAAGCCTTAAATTTTAAAGCAATCCTACACAGTTTATATATGTGTATAATCTTATCTACTGTCAGGTAATGGGGGTTGAGACTGAGAAAAGTTACATTCTCTCTCTGGGTTGACCTCTCTCCTCTTTGGTTGCTTCATGTGGAAGACCATGACCTATATATGTTTAATGGGAGTTTACTGTAAAAACACCCTGTGCAAGATCTGTCTGTACAGATAACTGTGTAAAATAACTTCAGGGCATTTCCTGCCCAAGATTTGTTTCAGGGTTTCACCCTTATAACTCCTGGCTTGAATAAGATGAAAGCCTCAAGGTTTTCTGTCTGAGGAGTCATTGAAGGAAGATTCCATTCTGGGATTCTTCTCTAAGATGGATCTTTGCCCATTAATTATTTGTTATCAGAGAGTTCCCACAGATGTTGGAGGAATATGCAAAGACAGTATTTTTATGGGCTTATTTTTCATGGAAAGCTAACATGTAGGACTGGCTGATGCAACAGCAAAATAGTGGATGAATGATCATTTTGAATATGATATTCTGATAGTATAATTGAATATCAATAGGCTCATTATATATTTAAAAAAACACTTATATGTTTCAATATACAATATTTTTGTCTAATGTTTCTATAGTATAAAATCCAAAACTGTCTATGTCCATAAAATATTTGGAATAATAGTTTCCATATTGCAGATGTGAAATTTTGAGGGTAACTGATCATTTTTACATTATTATTAAAATTAATAATTACTTGTTTCTCACATTCTTCTAAGACTTTGAGGAATTTTTATTGGTACTGAAGTAAGCAGGATTTCAAAAGTGATGGAATTCACTTTCCAAGATTAAATTCCAATTCACTCACATCAATGTTAAAGTATTTGTTGAACAGATGAAATTAAAAGCATTTTGAAAGACATAGTTTAATGCTCTTCTAATAGAGTCCTCATATTACTCAGATTATGTTATCATTAGTGTGGCTTACTCTCAAATAACTGAGTATAGCTCTTTCTAGATCACCCATTCCCCTTTAGGCTTTGGTAAGATTGTGCATTATTAAAAGAATTTTTGTCTCCAACATCTTTAGCATAGTACAGGATCAAAGAAGCTCCATGTCTATAAATGAGGAATTTAGCCTGTAGAGTTATATTTAGCTATCACAAATACAAACAATAATATAATTTGTATAGATATTATTACTTACACCCTTGGCTCAATAATACAGACTTGTAAGGAATATTTGTGTATCTCAAGAAAGCTCTGCAAAATTGGATTGAGGTTTGTAGCCTTTATCATTTTATCAAATACAGTGTTAAATTTAATATATAGATGTACCATCTTAATAATATTTTTGTAGTTTTCATAATTTATTGTTAGCACTTTTGTTTCTTTATCTTCATCTCTCCTCTTCAATGTATTTATACATTTATTTTTCTTACATTGAATTCAGTGACAAGGTATCTATTGTTCCTGTCAAAGCAATGTTGTATTCTGCAGTGTGACAAAATAGAAACTGAGAGGTAACTGCCATGAGAAAAATCAACATTATGTTGGCATAATAAGGAGGAAATTGGAACTGGAGACTACTTCCTTCCATTGGTCTATGGATCTACGGATATGGCTTGGGTTCAGAAAATTCATTCCCGTTTGCCTCAGTCCCAGATTTTGAAATATGTAAGTCTGAGTTTTCAGCTAAACAATTTGGGGTTTGCTTCAGCTTCACAGTTTATTTCCATCTTCTTCTTCTTCCTCCCATTTCTGTTTAACATGTATACCTCACCTTTTTCATAAAAATCTCCAATGTGTCTTCTGACAGTCTGACATTGCTATGCAAAAGATAAGTAAAATAGCTTCAAAAATAAGTATTTAGACTACATGAAGTTCTCAGCTCTGTGAAGAATTAACTTAAATTTATGTGATATCAATTCCTCAAAGCCTGTCCTAATGCAGACACCAAGACTGGATTTAAAGAAGTGGCATTTCCTAGTGCATTTCCTGTCTTTCTAATTGAAAGTATCATATGGAAACCACAGAAAAAGTAATTCATAGTAATTTAGCTCAATCCCAAAGATTTTTCATTTTATTTTGACAAACAAACAAATGATTCCTTAAATGCTTAATGCAGATTCAGTTGTGTCCTTGATAATATAATCTTCAACAGTATATTAAAAAAGATGAATGTATAGCAATACTGAGTAAATGAAAATGAAATAGTTAAATCATTAATTTAATTTTGCTTTCTTCAAACTCCTGAATTCTGATTTTGGGGAAAGTTATTTTGATGCATGCATTGTAAGTAGAATATATCTAGAATGATTTTTGTCAATAAGGCAGCAATTTGTAACTATTAAAAATAAAAAAATGAGAAATAATTGTGAGATAAAAAATAAAAATTGTTGAAAAAGAAAGTAAAATGCTCTATGCCATTGAAAAGAATAACAGCAAAATCAAAACATGTACATATAATTTGGAAGATTTCACAGAAAACAACGTTCAAAACATGCACAGAAAATATTTGTACCCTCAAAGCTGGTGAAGGCTAGCCCTTACTAAGACATCTGGTTATTAAGCAATGTTTACTTGTGTTGTAATATGTAGAGGTTAAGGGTTGTACTATCTTGCCTCACAATATTTTAACTTGATCTTTATCAGTATGTAATTAAGTATACAATCACTTGTAGCAGGTCATTCAATGCAGAGCATATGGACATGTGGATTTAAGGAAGAAAATGTTGGTATTATAAAAAAGTTCAAAAGGTTATCTGCTATTTGATAAAGAGGATTAATATAGTGGAGAATGGTCTGTCACAGTCTAAGAACACTGTTAAATTTCAATTTGATGGTATCTTCCCCAAACCAGGATATTTTGAATGTTTATGCTGACAAAGATAGCTGGAATTTAGAGTCAACCAGAAATTTGACCTAAACTTTTAACTTTTCTACCTTTCATTTATTATACAAATGTAAACAGTAATGGTAGCTATAAATGCATTCTTCTCTTGATCACATTTATATAATTTATGATTTATATCCCAACTTCATATCTAACCAGAATCACCAAATGCAATCAATTACAAATAGTGGTTTAAACATTTCATTTCATATTATTACAGTCAGAAGCCAGCACTACCAAGTATGTTCACATCTAATCCTTAAAACTAAAGAAATAAGATAGAAATGGTAAAAATAGAAAATGAACTTAAAAGTATATAAGAACCACCATAACTCAGTGACTGTGTATAGCACTGAATACTCATTAACCTTCAAACAAATAAACTGTAGCATCAAATTTGGCAACCTTAAATATATGATGAGCATTTGCATTGTTTAAAGATAAAACATATAAAAGTCATCACTCATCAGCAGTTTGGCTAGTAGGGAAACAGAATAGATTTACTGTCATTGCAAAAAGAGCAGTTTAGAAATCCCTTCTCTATAGATCTTGTTTGATCAAGTCCAACTTGATTAAGTCCAAACTAAGTCCACTTGGTTTTTCATTGGTATTTGCCATTCCATCATTTTTTTTGGGGGGGGGGAATGTATCAAAATGCAATTTAAATTTCCTTTCTTCCCCCCCCCCCAAACTCAGCAATTGCATAATTGTAACCCTTTGGATTTTGTTTAATTGGCATAAAACTGATAGTAAAGTCATAGAAAATGTGGTGACAATTACAGAAGAAAAATGACAATGGACCAGAACATCCAAACATAGATGCAATTTGATATGTTAGAGCCTATACATCCTAACAAGACTCTTTTATTGAGTTTTGAAATCTAAAACTGGCATGATTATTCCTCCAAACCTAAATATATGTGTCCCAGGATAATGTTGTAGGATCCAACATCTGGGTCAGTCACTGGGACCAGAGGTTTAGTCTTCTGAGCTTTTGGGCTTGTACTGGAGCCCATCTTCATCCTTCAATTTCACAACTACAAAAAATGGTGGCTGAGCGGATGCAAAGATAGCCAGAGAAATGATTGAAGCATGAGAAATGATCCCCTTATCAGTTAACAGGAGTGCTGATTTATCACCAGCTGATCTGGCACTTAGGAACTGAGGACTTGACAGCACAAGGAAACAACAGCCAGTAGCTGGCTATCAACACACCAGTCAATCAATAGGAAGCCACATCCCACCAGGCATCACATACATAGAATAGACTAGCCCAAAGCACACATTCTGGTAGAAAGAAGTTCCCTCAGGATGGTCTCCAGTGTGAGTCCAAAAGCTGGGAAGACTAAACCTCTGGTCCCAGTGACCGACTCAGACTGGATCCTGCAATTTCTAAATCTATCAAGATCAGACAAACTTGAGATCACAACTTTAGCTGAAATTTATCAGTAGCTTTACCTAAATAAATCAAAGGCATCTAGTTGCTTAAAACAGGACAGAACATTTGTCCTGCATTTAAAAATACAAAAACACACCAAGTTGTCATTTGAAGGCATTTATTTATTATGATATGGCCAGAAGTATATATAAATATCATGTCCTCTAGTGTAAATTATCTCTTTAGTGGGTTGTAGGTTCCTTGGCTTTGCACTTTAATTATAATTTAAAACAAAACTTGAGAAAACTCCCATAGGTCTTTTTCATTAGTAATGTTACTATCACCTTTAAAGAAGCATCCTCCCTTGAGAAATTCATTTGACCTCTAATTACATAAAACATCATGTGCTGATCAATGGTTGTCCTTTAATGGTGAGTAGGACCTAATCTAATAATTATCCTGTTCACAGATTTGAATGATAGTCCAGTAATTTTTAAGATTTTTTTTTAAAAAAAACCACACAAAAGCCCCTCAGAGCTTTACACAAAAATTAAATAAAATGAAGTGCTGCCATGCCACTTTGGTCCATGTACTGTATTTGTATATATATTTTTCTAGAAGTGTGTTGAGTCAGACAGAGCGTGAATGATGATTTGATGAGTATCTGTGCCAGAGGAGACTGAATCTGAAAAGCAATGTACTAAAATCTTCCAAAGGATTTAGGTTTTGGATTTGGATCCTCCAGCTGACATGCCACCATTCTTCTGTGGCATTTAAAAACCCTTTGTGATTTGTGAAAATGAAATTCAATCATGTTGGCAGTTTTGCAGCCAGGCTTTTCCCCCAAGAGCTCTGAACATAATTTCATGTTCCTCTGAGAGTTAGAGTCAAGCAAAGGGAAGGAAAATTCCCAATCATGCGTACAAGAAGAGTTAAATTCCAGGAGTCAAACCTCAGTGGGGGTGGGTAAATATTGGCTGGCTTAAGCCCAGGAGTCAAGATGAAGAGTTCTTGCCAATGGGAAACAGGCCACCCACAAAGTCTATGAAAATGCATCAATTTAAAGGAGAATACCAGCTTTGCCGTAGTTGTGAATAAACTCAAGCAAAATCATAAATTCACTCCACTCCCAAAAAACAAAGAAGATCAATCAAATTTTTCAGGCTGAGCCTGAAATAGTGCAAATATTTTTGAGAAAATACCACATTCAACAGAAAAATTCAAAAGGCCATTTATGTTAAGTTCTAGATATAATAGACAACAGGATTTAAACAGTGACTTTACACTTATTTCTGAAAAAACCTAGTGGACTTTTCTCATTAACTTTTGTACTTTTCTGAAGGCCACGCCTACTAATATGATTGATCAATCACATGAGGACTTATTAATGTGGCAAATGTAGTTTTAATTGGAATCCATTGCTATAACATATGAGTGATGAACTATTTAAACCAGAGATGAAGCCCTCATCCTGTTCTAGGTATCATTCTCCATTATGTTACAGAAGAAGAAAACATTTTAGATCATTCTTTCCCAACTTGATTCCTTACAGGATTAGAAGTTCCGGAATTCCAGGCTAAGAGAATTAACTACCAGCCTAACAATGGTTGTCATAAAGGGCATGGAAAATACTTTCTTTATGCTAGGACCGGGGTAGGCAACCTTGGCTCTTTTATGATTCGTGGACTTCAACTCCCAGAATTCCTGAGCCAGCCATCACAAGACCCAAAGCAGAAAGGTAACTACAAATGCAACCAGTTAGGCATGAAAGCCAATGAGGTGCACTATTTGGGGCAGGCAGATCAACTGCTCATAAGCAATTAAAGAACAGAAATATTTTGTGCACATTTACTGTCTCTATGCTTCATTAATGTCATCAGAGATTTATTTGCTATATAATCAGGACAATTCTTCAGGCAGTTGTAGGATGTTAGAAACAGAGGTCACGGAGCTTCCGGTGGGAGGCGACGGCGATGGCGGCTAGCTTTTAGCCGTCCAGCTGGGGAAGTGTCAGAGCCGCGGAGCGCAGCGCGCATCAGCTGGCCCGCGGCTCGGAAATCCCTTCCCGGGCAAAGGGAAGGGATAGAGAACGCAAGAGTAGAGGTAGAACCCCTAAACCCCCTCTGGATTTATTTCTAGAGGGGGTGAAAGGAGTGTTCCCTCGGAGCTCTTGCTGATCTCCGCCTCCCAGCTGTTTTTGCTTCCTCGGAAGCAAAAGAAACCGCCGCTTCTATCTCCGTGTTTACAGCATTTTGGTGAGTAATTTTTAAACGGACGGAGCAGTTTAAAGGATTTTTTGTTATATTTTAGGTGTTTATTTTTTTTATCTTTTGATTTTTACTATTTTTCCTCCTTTTCTTTGTTATACTAGTGAAAGGACTTAAGATGGCGTTTTGAAAGTGTCGGAGTTTTTTTTTCCTTTCTCTTTTGTTTTACTTTCCCTTTTTAAGGATTGTTTTTTGCTTTTGCTTTTGCTTTTGGCTTAGAATTTTTTTTTTGAATTGTTTGCTCTTTTATACTTATTCTTGGGATTTATTCTGGACTTTTAATGATTATAGTTTGTCTCTTTTTAAAAATTCTTTTTTTCTTTTTTTCCTCCTCCCTTTTTGGCTGGAGGGGAAAGGGAAGTGACAATTGTGCTTTTTAAAAATGGCTTCAAAGAGGCAGCAGCCTTCCTCAGTACCCAAGGTTATTTCTTCTCCTATAACTTCCACTGCACAGCTACAACAACAATCTAAACATGCACCACCGGCTCAGCCACCACCCTCCCCTCCTTTACCTGGACTTTCAGTGCAAGAGGTTAGAGGTATAATGGGAGAGATTGTAGTTCAAATGAGAGAGGAAATGACTCAATTTGTTTCACAGATTAAATCAGAAATTAAATCTGATCTCAAAGAAGAGATAACGGGGATAAAGTCTAAATTGCAAGAAAATAATAATGAATTACGACAAGATATACTGGCAGCTGTTTCAGGTTTGGCTACTGTGGTGGTTAAGCTCGATGCAAGGCTTGAGGAAGTGGAAGACAAAGTTGACTCTTTAGATGACAAAATTCAAGACGTGGAAAGGAAGGTGGACTCCTCACAAGAAGATATTTTGATGTTTCAGTACAGACAGATGGAGTATGCTCTGAGGATTAGAGGCCTCAAGGAAGATATGAATCAAGATTTGATGGAGGTGGTTCTTAGTGATCTGGCGCTGGCTTTGGATATGGATAAAGGAGAATTACAGAGAGAAGTAGAAAAAATTTATAGACTCAACTCCTGGATTGCTAAGCAGAAGAATTTGCCCAGAGATGTGGTGATTTACTTTACAAAGAAGTCCCTGCGGAATGAGATTATACAAGCTTTTTACAACAAAAGATTTCAGATTGCCGCCCAAGATGTCATCATTCTAAAGGAAATCCCATCTAAAATCTTAAGAAGTAGGAAAGATTTTGCTTTTTTAACCAATGAGCTTAAAGCTAGATCGATGCCATTCAGATGGGAAATTCCGATGGGTATCGTTTTGAGCCATGCTGGGACACGTTACAGATTGAACACAGTTGACAAAGCTAGAGATTTCTATACTTCGGTCCTGAGTGCAGGCTCAACTTCATCTGGTCGGAAATCTTTGAGTGCTAAGGAACCTGAGCAGCAATCTGAGGCACTAGATTTGGTTTCCGCAGGGATGATAGAAGTGGCAAAGCAACGCCAAACGGAGGCTAAAGAGCAGAGGATGACTCGTGCAGCTTATAAGCGTAAAGAGAAAGAGCAACGTAAAAAAGAGCCCAAAGAGAATTCTCCTGGAAGTCCATCACCGCCGGTGGGAGGAGCAAGACCCAAGAGTTATGCAACACATGCAGCTCTGTCAGAGTTTGATGGTGTCTTCTCCAGGCTGCGTGCCAAGGGAGATGGCAAAGTTTTTGACCTGGAATGTTAATGGATTGAATTCTCCTCAGAAACGGAAAAAAATCTTTTATTATTTGAAGCAACATACCAATGATGTTATTTGTTTACAGGAAACTCATATTCTACTTAAAGATCAGAAATATTTAGTTAATGCTCGTTTGGGATCTCATTTTATATCTCCTGCACCTGGGAAGAAAGGGGGAGTTGTTATATATGTCAAACAAAACCTGCCAGCTTGTCTGGTAGAATCAGATCCCCAGGGGAGATATGTGATGATTGAACTTGGTATTTATGGTAAGAAAGTACTTATAGTTGGACTTTATGCTCCAAATCAACAACAGGAACAATTTTATAAACAGTTACACCAAAAAATAACTTTGCTTGACTATAGATCAGTGGTACTAATGGGTGATTGGAATGGTGTCTTAGACACACAAAGGGATAAGAAAGGTTCCTCTCCTTTTCTTAAACAAGCAAGGCTACCTAAAGCCTTTTTTGATATGAAAGAAGACTGGGAATTAAGGGACTATTGGCGGGAACGTAATCAAGAGGAGAGAGACTTTACTTTTTTTTCTGACAGACACCAATCTTTTTCAAGAATTGACTTTTTCTTGATTACCACGGATTTGTATAATAAAGTAAAGAATGTAAAGATTTTTCCTAGATCACTGACGGATCATAGTCCAGTTTGGATGGAGTTGATTCAAGAGAAAGAGGAAAGAAGATCCTGGAGAGTTAATGAAAATTTGTTTAGACAAGAGAAGAATGTTCAAAAACTAAAGGAGTGTTTAAAGGACTATTTTGCTTTGAATATGTACAAGGGGACTTCAATGTCAATGGTATGGGATGCAGGTAAAGCATTTATGCGCGGTGTTTTGATAAAAATGAATAATTTTTATAAGCGAAATCAGATTCAGAAACGTAGAGAACTTGAAGATGAAATTAAACTAAAAGAAAGGGCTTTGATTCTAAATCCTTCTGATGAAAGTACTAAAGAATCTGTAAAGTTATTAAGGTCACAATTTAATATGTTGATAGCAGATCAAGCTGCAACCAATTTATTATTTATGAAACAAAATACATTTTGTAATGCTAATAAGCCGGGGAGATGGTTGGCTTATCAATTAAGAAAGAAACAGAGACAGAGAATAATAGAGAAAATAAATTATAAGGGTAAACTAGTTTCTCAGAAGGAATTAATTAAAAAATCTTTTTTGGATTATTATCAAAACCTATACAAATCTACTAATGTACAACTGTTAGATATAAATAAATATTTAGCTGAGGCAAGTTTTCCTAAACTGACTGAGGATCAGAAATATGAAATTAATGGTTTAATCACTAAGGAGGAAATCGCCTCAGCAATTCAACAATTGAAATTAGGGAAAGCACCGGGTACGGATGGGTTAACAGCTGTTTATTATAAAGCCTTAATGGAGGAGATGATTCAACCATTAAATGATCTTTTTAATGGTATCCTACAGGGTTTAGAGATTCCTCCTTCATGGCGTAGTGCTTTTATATCATTGATTCCAAAGGAGGATCAAGATCTTACTTTACCAAAAAACTATAGGCCTATATCTCTTTTAAACGTGGATTATAAGATATTTGTAAAAATTTTGGTAAATAGGCTTATGAGGGTGGTGCATCATCTTGTGCATAAAGATCAATCAGGGTTTATAACAGGAAGGTATATGAAAAACAATGTTAGACAAATTATTAATTTACTAGAATACTTAGATAAGAACAACCAAGTTTCTGCAGGGCTCATATTTTTAGATGCTGAAAAAGCATTTGACCAACTGAATTGGCATTTTATGCTAAGAGTAATGGAAGAAATGAATTTTGGTGAAAACATATTACAAGCCCTTAAGGTAATATATCAAAAACAAACAGCACAACTTATTGTTAATGGAGGTTTGTCGGAGGTTTTCACAATAGAGAAAGGTACTAGACAGGGGTGTCCTTTATCGCCATTGTTGTTTGTTTTAACATTGGAAATATTATTGATTAAAATTCGAGAGTCTCAGGAAATTAAAGGAATATATGTTAATAAAAAAGAATATAAGTTGAGAGCTTTTGCGGATGACTTGGTTGTTACTTTGTCGCAACCTGACTATTCTGTAGTAAACTTATTACAGTTGATTCACCATTATGGTTTGGTCTCGGGTTTTAAGATTAATGTAAATAAGACTAAAATTTTACCTAAAAATATGTCGAGTCAGGAGAAGCAGATTTTGGTTAACTCGACGGGTTTTGAGATTGTTAATAAGGTAAAATATTTGGGGGTGATGCTGTCTGTTTCTAATGCAAAATTATTTAAAAACAATTATGAAAGGTTGTGGGTCGGGGTACAGAAAGACTTGAAGAACTGGGAAAAGCTGCAATTATCCCTCATGGGAAGAATTGCAGTGATAAAAATGAATATTCTACCCAAGTTTCTTTTTTTGTTTCAAATGTTACCAATTTTGAAAAATGAGATTAATTTAAATGAGTGGCAGAAGGGTCTCAATAAATTTATTTGGGCAGGGAAAAAACCAAGGGTTAAGTTCAAAATTATGCAAGACTTCCGTGAGAGGGGTGGACTCAAGGTACCAAATTTGAAATTATATTATGATGCGGTGGTTTTAACATTAATTAGTGACTGGGTAAATTTGACAAATTCTGAGATACTTTATCTAGAGGGATGGGATTTACTTTATGGGTGGCATGCCTATTTAATATTTAATAAAAAAATAGATTGGGCTTTTAAATCTCATATTTTAAGAATTTCTTTACTTAGGATTTGGAGAAAATATTATAAAAGTGATTTTAAAGTACCATTATGGGCTATACCTTGGCATGCGAT